CCAGGGCGGCACTCAGTCCATAGCATTGATGCATGAAGCTGAGTGTCTGAGTCTCTGGGTAGAGACCTACCTCCTCTCCCTGCAGGTGGAACATATATCACACACAGCCAACATCCAAACAGACTGGCTGAGCAGGGCCATGATCGACTACACGGAGTGGTGCCTGCACCCAGATCTCTTCCACAACATCTCCTGGAGGTTCGGTCAGCCAATGGTGGACGTATTCGCCACCCTGGAAAACACTCACCTGCCAAGGTTTTTCTCACAGTTCCAGATCCCAGGAGCAGAGGGCACAGACGCTCTTCACAGCTGTTGGCCACCAGGCCTTCTGTATGCTTTCCCACTCCTACCTCTCATCTTGAAAGTCATCGGGAAAGTGATCATAGAGGGGGCGGAGCTCATACTGATCGCTCCACATTGGCCAAGATAACTGTGGTTCGGGGACTTGCTCAGCCTGTCCATGTCCCACCCATGGAGGATACCGGAGGACAGAGTCTCAGTCAGGGGGAGATGAAGCATCCAGATCCTCAGTGGCTCCAGCTAACCGCCTGTCGTTTGAGAGGGATCTCTTAGCGTGCTGCAACCTTTCTGGGGGCATCATCTCCACCATCCAGGCATCCACCTCCCGGATCTACGAAGCATGCTGGAGAGCGTTCAGCAGCTGGTGTATGAGAGCTCGCATCGACGCTCTGTCAGCCACTGTACCTCATGTTCTGGACTTTTTACAGCAAGGACTAAGTAAAGGCCTATTGTCTAGCACTCTCCAGAGGCAGGTGGCCACTATAGCTACCATCCTATCGGTTGAAGGCTCCAGTTTACTTTCGCAACACCCTCTGGTACGGAGTTTTCTCAGGGGAGCTCTCAATCTCCAGCCACCTGTAATACATAATACCCGTCCTGGAATCTCTCTTGTTCTGCAACCTCTCACATCTCCTCCTTTCGAGCCATTGAGCTCTACAAGTCTCAGGCTCCTGACCATCAAAATAACCTTTCTTGTGGCCATAACATTGGCGAGGAGAATCTCAAGAGATGGCAGCACTATCGGTATGTGCCTCATCCAACCAGACAGAATCATCCTCAGGCTTGACCCATCCTTTCTTCCAAAAGCTAATATGTGATTTCACAGGGCACAGAAGATATCCTGCTGGATTTTTGCCCCAGAGCTGTTCACCCTGCGGAAAAGAGATGGCATAAACTAGATGTCAGGCAAGCAGTTCATCGATACAAGAGAACAGCGGACTTCTGGCAAACTGAGGCCTATTTGTGTCCTTCCAGCCTCCATTAAGACATCAGTCAAGCCAAGGAGGCATGTCCAAACATTTCAAACTCAGTCTCTGGGCTAATAGGCAGAAATTATAACCCATGCATGGAGTTTCCTGCAGCGCACAGAGAACTACCATTCAGGTAAGACCAATGGTCTTTTCCCCACTCTTACTACATCTACTGCTTGATGTTTTGCAGCCCTGTTTATCTCCTTGGGAGGATGGGTCAGAAGATCACCTGAACAACTACTGTGAAGATTTTTCAAGACATCTATTAGATAAAATAACTTTGAATCATCACTTTATCTTGAGTTGGACTCCAGCTGTGCATGTCCTTTAAGTTGACTGAAGCACAGTCTTATGTGGTTATTGGAATCCATTGGTCCTAAGGAAGTGGACATGGTCCTTGGAGCGTAGAGTATAACCACCTGTCTTGGCTGTCAAGGCCTCCTAGGAGATGATGTATGATTGGATATAATGGTGGTAGTGGGAAATTCATCCTTGAGCAAAGAGGCAGTTTCATCTTTTCTTAAGGAGTTAGTGGTCTGCCCCTTCTTTAGATCTCTGTATCTAATAGTGTTAGATAATTTCTGGCCTATATTTAAGCTTGTGTTTTGCAGCAAGATTATTGAGAAGGTGGTCTGTCAATAGATTATATGGATGCAGTTTATCTGGAGACCTTTCAGTCTCCAGATATAGGCAATTAAATCCTATAGGCTTGGATATAGTATCAGATGACATTGATCATACTTCTGGATGGTCTCTGGTAGGACTGGAATGAGAATGGTGCATCTATCCTAGTTTTCTTTGATTTTTCAGTGCCTTCATTTCCACCAATCATGGTATGCTTCTGGACCAGCTCAGGGGGTTGGAAAGGAAGATATGGTTTTGTGGTAATTTTTCTTCCAGGATCAGTTCCAGTTAGTGTTGGAGATAGGGAGAGATCGAACCCTTGACTCTTGATTTGTAAGGTACCTCGGTACTTCTTTCTCTTATGGATATCTAATATCAAAAACATCATCAAAAAACCACAACAAAGAATGTTCTTTTTGCACCAAGTCAGGAGCTCAAACTCCCAAGGAGCTGCTGATAGTTCTACAGAGGAATTATTGAGTCTGTAATCTGCACCTCTATAACTTGTTGGAAACATTTATTCAAGTTAAGCTGTATTTTTGTTCCAGAGTCAAGATGTGACCATCGCCTTGGAAGCAGTTTTTCCTCTATCCTTCAAGGCCTTTCATTCTGTCCTCTACTCATTTTATATTGTGCATTATTTGTGCCCTTTCCTGGATTGAGAGGCCCTACTCACTGTAATTCATGTGTTAGTTACCTCTTATTTGGATTATAGCAACATACATTCCAAGGCTGCTCTCGAAGGCTGCAACTAGTTCAGAATGTAGCTACATGAGGAGTTATGCACCTTAACTGTGTGAGCCATTGATTGCTAGTGGGCTTCTGGGTGGAATTCAGAGTGCTGGTTATTCACCATTAAAACCCTTCATGCACAAGGGTTTTATTTGTAACTCTGCCTATTTGATGATAAGATCCAACAGTTGGCATATCTTTCATCTCTTAAAAATGCTGTTCTGTCATTGTGTATGTCCTATGGAACAGCATTACCCTCAGATTTGGGTAACCCAACCCAAAACTATCTTTTCTAAAGACCTGGCATCTCTTCTCTCCCCAGACATGGGGACTTGAGTTCCTGTCCAATGTGATTACCTCTTTGATAAGATAGCTTGGAATGTTTGCATTAATGTTATATTTTATGATAAATATATTTTGTTTATTGTTCTATGTGTACGCTGCCCCAAAACATTTGAGAAAATATGTAATTCATCTGAATAAATACAGTTTTCATTAGATTCCACATTTTTATCTTTCGCCTATATTAAAAATTCCTTAGTATCACAAGATTTCAAAGTCATTAGTATGAGCTATGTGTACTTTATTTGGATTTTTACCCCCATTGTGGCCTTTTTACATTGCTACTTGGCATGCAGAAATAAAGAATCTAGATTAGTTTCTGCCTATTGATGAATTGCTTTAAAACAATATATGAGTTACATTTTGTATGGTTTTTACATTCAAGGCCTACTTTGATTGTGGGACACAGGATCTGTTTTCCCGGAGGCAGAATCACAATCCATTCTGCTGTGTATGCTTTACTGATTTTCTGTTTAATACAAACGGAAAAGATGAGAAACAAGTTTCTGTATTATACAGTAGAGAAAGGAATTGGAGCTGTCCTTGTTGCAAGAAGAGTTTTTCTTCCATAAGCAATTTCCTTATTTTTTCATGCTGTTGGTATGAAAGTAGCTCATCTTCTAAATATGAACTATAGGAAGGAAGATCTTGAGTAGAGAGGATGGATAGATGGAGAATACAGTGGCCAATGGACTAAAAGATCCCCATGTTTATTTTATATAAATGCATCATTATAAAAGGTGTTTACTGAAGTAGAATTCTAGAAAAGAATTCAGTGGTTAGATATTTAATTCCAGTGATGTTGTATTTCATCTTTTTATAAAAGCCTTTTTTGATAATTGATATAAGCAGAGATAAATGTGATTGTATGACATAATCATGAGTGTTAATCTGCAACATAGAACGTGGAGAAGCAGTTGTTCCCTTTCTATATAAATAGATCTTATTTTGTTTGTTTGTTTTACTGATTCAGAGATAAGTTTTCAAAAATATATTCAATCTGTTTTTATAAGTAATTGTACAATTAAATTCATGCAGTCAAATGATCTTGGCTTTCTATCTCTTAGAACAGAAATCTATTAAAGCTGTAATCATTTTGATAACTATTAATGATGTGATATAGATATATATATTTGAAGTTTGAAACTTGTAATTGTTTTTACATGTAAAAATGTCTATCTAAAGTCTTTCAATATTAGCCTAGACCAGTGATTGCGAACCTTTTTCACCTCAGGTGCCAAACACAAGCATGCATGCTATTGTGCCCACCCCATAACTTAGTGCCTGCGCATGCACACACAGCTTTCTAGGAGCCTGGGGAGGGCGAAAACTGCCTCCCCCGTTCCTCGGAGGCTGTCTGAAGGCCGGAAACAGTCCATTTTCAAACTTCTGGTTTGCATATTGGGCCGTTTTTTGCCCTCCGGAGGCTTCAGGGAACTTCAGAGGCCACTATTGTTGAAACATTAATTACAGCCTTAGATCCCTCTTCAGATCTTTTGTTATCATTATTTATGGAAACTGAAATAACATTGAAATTCTAAAACTTATGTTTTACTGAAATTACTAGGGCTTATTTACAAATACATTTTTAGAACTGGAGTGAATCTACTGTTCTTCTATATATCTCAAAATAAGATAGTTATTCAGATTTATGCTCACTTCTTTATAGTCACATTGAGAAAATAAAAGCATTTTTCTGTCAATGAATTATATTGATGTCCCAGTGATTTTTATTTTATGTGTTACAGTTAAAAGCTAGTTCAGTCCCATCAGTGTGTCTCATAATTTTTAAATATAAAACCACCACTGAGAAATTCTTTAAGCATCTTTACAATCCTTCATGTGCATTAATGGTCTTTGGGGAACACTCCTCATATTGACAGTAAAATCCCGCTGTGTTTCAAAAGCAGATTCCCATCCATTATGGGCTTGATTTTTAAGGGTGGTACACTGTTGTATTATATAGATTATTAAGAATTTGCATTATGATATTGAGGTTATTACAACTTTTGTTTTCATTCTTTCTTCAAGATACCCAGAAAGTGGCATTGTGGAAATGACTGTCCATAATCTGCGGCCTCGAGCAAGAACTATTTTGAAATGGAATGAATTACATGTAGGTGATATGGTGATGGTTAATTACAACGTAGAGAGTCCAGAAGAAAGAGGATTCTGGTTTGATGCAGAAATTACCTCTTTGAGGGAAATTTCAAGGACTAACAAAGAGGCTTATGCCAAAATTATGCTGGGGTAAGATTTTATTGATTGATAGTGCAATCTATCTAAATTTTTTACATTATTTCAGTAAATAAAACCTTCTCATATAGCACAAAACCTGTAATTTCTTTCAATGGTATTTTTTTTATAGCAAGAAGTTAAACACAATACTGCTCTGTCTTTCTAATATTAGATTTATATCCCTACTTTTATTTTGGAACTCAAGACAGCATACATAGTCCTCTATCCTCCCATTTTTTCTCTAGAACAATAACTTGTGAGATAGGTTGGATAAAGAGAGAGTGACATGTCTAAAGTCATCTAATGCACTTCTATGGCTGGGAGTGGACTAAAATCTGGATCTTTCTCCATACTGGTGGAGATAGCATCCAGGAATGAAAGGGGTTTACTGTGACAACACGTCTCGTCTGGTAGCTCCTCCCAGCTTTTAGCCTCAGTTTTTCTTAGGACAAGACGTGTGTTTAAATTCTCCATTTCTGGATATTTCTCAACTCCTGCAACAATGAAAACAACAAACAAGGGTTTGATTCGGAGGCTGGTTCTCTTTAAGAGCAGGTCGAGCAGCCTCCGGTTCCAACAGAAAGGGCTTCTGGAAATTCAGGCGATCTAGCCAGTTCCAGAGGATCAACAGAGTCAGGGGTTCTACTCCCTCCTGTTCATAGTCCCAAAAGCCTCAGGGAGCTGGAGAGCAGTTCTAGACCTCAAGCGTCTGAACCATCACATTATCTATGAGAGTTCAAGATCACTCACTCACTCCAGACCATTCTGGATGGCGATTTCCTCACATTGGTAGATCTCACAGAGGCATACTTGCATGTGCCCATCCTCCCTGCCCACAGGCAGTGTCTCCGCTTCTTCTATGCGGGAAGCATTATCAATAAAGAGCCCTGTCCTTTGGCTTTTTATCGGCTCCAGAGTGTTCACCAAGCTGCTCGCAGCCCTAGCGGGGCAGCTCCAACCCATGCCAGTCAGGATCCAGTGCTACCTGGATGATATCCTTCTTCAGTGCAGATTGGAAGGACAGGTGGAGAAAGACCTGGAGCTCACACTTCAGGTTCTCCAGGACCATGGGTTTTCCATAAACCTAGGCAAGAGCCACTTCACCCCAACAACTCATCTGGTGCACCTGGGAGCAATCATAGATACCACAGAGTGCATGGTCTAAATCTCCCAAGATTGCCAGTCCAGTCTACAGGTTTTGGCAGGCCACCTATGGAGGGAGTGTCAGGTACCGCTGCTCCAGCTCTCCCAATTGCTGGAAAAGATGGTGCCCTGTTTTTCAGTCGGGCTCGGCTCCACAGCAGATGCCTTCAGTGATTTCTCCTACCACATCAAAGGGTTGGTAGGAGCTGCTCGTTGGACAAGGTGCAGATGTTGCCAGGGGTAATCAGGTCACTGGAGTGGTAGTTGTCCCTGGATATTTCCAGTTCAGAGATCCAGACCACTGACGTTGACAACCGATGCCAGCCTCTTTGGATGGGGAGCTCAATTACAATTGCTGATAACACAAGGTCAGTGGTCTCAGGAGGATTTGAGTCACAACATAAATTGACTCAAACTGCGGGCAATCCATCTGACCCTCATTGATTTCCAGGACAATGTGGCGAACAAGCACATTCTGGTCTTCACAGACAACACGATCGCAAAGGTACATATCAACCGCCAGGGCGGAACTTGCTCCTGGTCCCTCATGCTCAAGGCCAAACAGCTGGGCCTCTGAGCGGAGATACACCTTCTGTCCATTAGGGTAGAACATATGTTGGGGATGGCAAATGTACATGTGGACTGGCTCAGCTGAGCTCCAGTCGACCATGCAGAGTGGTGCCTCTACCCAAACCTTTTCTGGGAACTGACAGACGATTTGGTCTTCCAGTAGTCGATCTCTTTTCCACCCCAGACAACAGCCAGCTGCCCAGGTACTATGCCAGATACATAGCCCCAGGACAGAGGGGGAAGCTGCTCTCTGCTGTCTGGCCTTCAGAGCTACTGTATGCCTTCCATCCTCTTCCATTCACCCAGAGAGTCATCAGGAAGATGCTGGAGGAGGAGGTACTGCTCCTGGTGCCCCACTAGCCCAGAAGGCCTTGGTTCACAGACCTGGTGAACCTTTCCATGACTCCACCCTGGAGGATCCCTCCAACTAAGAGCTCACTCAGTCAGGGGTCTGTGGTCCACCCGGACCCTCAGTTGCTCCAGTTGACCACCTGGCGATTGAAAGGAGGGTCCTGAGCAAGGACAATCTGTCCACCAGGGTCATCAAGACGTTGCAGGCATCACTACGGTCTTTGACTAATTGTATATACGATGCCACCTGGAGAGCCTTTTGCTGCTGGTGCTCAAGTAAGGATCTCATCTTCACTAGAGGTCTCCATTCCTTGGGTCCTGGATTTCCTTCAGGAAGGACTTGATAGTGGACTATCCCCCAATACTCTCAGAAGACAGGTAGCAGCCCTATCTTTAGTTTTGACATACGGATCATTGGAATCTCTGGCCCACCATCTTTTGATCTGACAGTTCTTAAGGGGTGCTACCAACCTCAAACCCCGGTTGTTCAGATATCCCAGTGGGACTTCACCAAGATACTGAACTCCCTCACCGGGGGGCCCTTTGAATCGTTGAGGACTGACTACCTGCCTGTGTTACCTTACCTTTAAGGTGGCGTTCTTGATGGCCATCACATCAACCAGGCGGGTTTTGGAGCTGGCAGCCTTGTCTGTTAGACAAGATCTCTGTGTGTTTTACTTGGACAAGGTGGTGTTGTGGCTGGACCCATCCTTTGTCTTGGTTTCCCTGAGCCCAGAGCTTGTGCTGCCAAACCTCTGCTTTGAACCTGTTCATCATCTGGAGCGGAAGTAGCACATGCTAAATGTACGGAGGGCTCTCCGCATTTACATCAGAAGGACCTCTTCTTTGAGATGCAGAGTCTTTGCTCGTCTCCTTTCAGCCGTCCACGATGGGCAACAAGGTTACCCCATCTTCTTTGAGACATATCAGGGCTTACATTGCAAAGGCCTATGAGTTACAGCTTTACCACCTCCAAGAAATATTACCACCAACTCTACCAGGAGTGCGGCAATGACTGCAGCATGAGCAACACAGGCCTCGATAGAAGAAATCTGTCGAGCCACCACCTGGGCCTCTCCATCGCCTTTCATCAACCATTACAAGTTGGACATCTTTGCCTCTGCAGAGGAGGTCTTTGGTAGGCAGGTTCTGCAGAGAGTACACAGTTCATGGGACTTTGGACTGGACTGTGGCCCACCCGTAAGGACAAGCCAGGCTTTGGTATGTCCCATTCCTGGATGCTATCTCCATCACTATGGAGAATGGGTGTTGGTCTTACCTGATATGCCCATTCTCTGGGAGATGGAGATAGCATCCAGCCCCACCCAGATAGGTGTTCGGTCCTGGACCTGATAGGAGACATTTCTTCACCGCCACACGTCAGTCTGCAGCAACACCTTTGTCAAAAAGCTGGAGAAGCTACGAGAGGAGGCATGTTGTCACATCCGATTGGATGACAGATGAAGTAAACCCCTTTCATTCCTGGCTGCTATCTCCACCTCCCAGAGAATGGGCGTATCAGATAAGGCCAACGCCCATTCTGCCTCTGGGTCAACACCTTAACTACTATATCATGCTTTAACTCATGTTGTTCTCTTTCCAGCTATTATTTGAAATACGTAAACTACAATTCTGGAGAAATCGGCTCAGCAGAAAATTCTGTTCATTATAGGCTTACTTTTGATAACTGAACGTAAATCACAGCCTATTTTTTTCATAATGATAGGTCTGGTTTTTTAGCTTCAGGGACAGATTAATTCAATTTATATAGAAATTAAGATGCTTAGATTTTGGTTTTTAGAAATACCATGAAATTACAAAGGAAATGATACACCAGAAATATGACAGTATTGTAGTGATTTCTGTGTTTCAGGAACATAGCAAGAAGCAACATTTCAACCATGTTATCCTTCTGATTTGCCAGATCATTTTGGCTTTTTGGAAATAAAGAGTATGCAAATGGAATACTTCACTGTGGTAATTTTTGCCTTCCAGAAGGAAGAATTCTCTCTCTAGTTAATCAGTGTTCTCAAATGTGAAGTAGACTTAGGTCTCAGAATTGAACTTGGCAAGAAAAGAGAAATTACTCAGCACCGGAAAAATGGCTGAATTAGCAGAGCAGTGTTATGTTTGGACAAGAGGCAAGAGCAGGAGGTGGATGTATGTGCTCTTCCCCTTTCTCCTCAGCTTAAATGTTTTTTCCACTTTGCAACAAGCTTTTGAGAGAGCTGAAACAAGTCACCAACTCATTAGTTTTCTTTCCCTCAGATTATGCTTATTTCAGCATTCTCATAATCCTGCGGAATGAAATATTTTGGCTATGTATTGATATTCATTGTGGTAGCAGAGGACTGCCAATATCCTGAAAGAGAACAGCCCTTTTGTAAAATCAGAAAGAATAATAAATATAATGAACGCATCTGCAAAAAAAAAAAAAAAGGATAATAGCAGAAAGTAGCATAGTTAAACCTTAAATAATTTATTTTCTCTTACATCAGAAGACTCTTGAATATCTCCCTGAATACATTAGAAAAGATAAGTTCTTCGTAAGTTTTATTCATGGAAATAACTACAGTCCTTTGTGCCTGGAAATGTATAAAGCTAATGATTGGTAATACTGAAGAAAATGTAAAAGCAATTTACATTTAAGTTATATTATAAATCCTGATGTATTCACTTATCATTGTTGCCCACTTAATTGATGCTACAATTAGCAAGTTAGTAGCCATATGAAATAAATGAACGAGTAAATTACTTTTTTAATTATTTAAGTTACTATTTCAATTATTAAAAAGCCCTAAATAAAGAAGCAATTACAGGTATTTCATAAGGAAAAGAATGAATTATATTTCAAATTTAGGCAAACTTTATTGCTGGCAATTTGTTTAAGTAATGTGTGGCAATTCATGATAAAAACTAGATTTGAATATGTAGCTTTGCCCATAAAGCAGCATAAGATATTAATGGATTTATGTGAAGGGATGTGGTTTATGCAAGTTTATCCTGTTTTTTGTTTTGTTTTGTTTTGCTTTGCTTTGTTTTCAACAAAACATTTGTTGAAGATGTTTTGAAGATGAAAAATTAAGCAAGTTAGATTGGTAAGCTTATGTTTCTCTGTATGGAACTTTTGCAATATTATATAGTGACAGGAAGGCTAACTAGAAAATGTATTTCATTAATTAAACTACTATCCAGTATTATACTCTGAAAATATAAAGAGTATTTCCTGCTAGAGTTGAATATGCTTGTACATTTAATTACACAGAAATAAATAAACATATTTTGCTTGTCCAGTATAAATCAGATCTAAAATCAAAAGTCTTCATCTTTTAATTTCACAGTTCTAATTTAGATGTCAGCTATGCTAATATCTTGTTTCTTTAATTTTTTTCTTTGATTTAACCTGATTTCTAAATATGTTATATTCTTGGCTCTTCAAAAATATATGCCCTCAAGCATATTAGTTTCCTTATTTACTTGGTTCCATTTCTATTGGCATCATATGAGTTTATTTGAAAGTGCTTTGCACGGTTGTATTTATTTCTATATTGATCATTAAATATATATAGCAAAATGAAAATAAAATTTAGGTTGGTTGTTCCTTTATTTTTGATCTTTTTTCTGGTTGATAGTATTGGTTATTTGTGATTTCTTTTCTTAATATAGTTGTTAATATGTAAATTGTTGTTAATGCTATAGTTTGATATTTCAAGTAGATGCGTTATTTGGTTTTTTAATATTAGTGAATATTTTCTGGATTAATATTATAATATTGCTATTTCAGAATTGAGTTTGAAGCATGCTTCTATTTACTTTTTAGTTCAGTCCGTGAATCTTCTTCAAGCATATAATGTATACTGCACAGTAATTTTATGTTGTGTCCCATTGAATAGCATTAACAAAAGACTGAGATAAATTGAGTTGAATATTTTGTTTTTTCATTTTCAGGAGCCCAGAAGATGTAATAAATGATTGCAAACTATGTTTTATAGAAGAAATATACAAGATTGAAAAACCAGGAGCATATCCATTGACATTTGCAGATGGAGAGTTCAAAAGTAGGTATTTAGTCTGCCCATGAAAGGTTTCCCATTTTTGAATAGTATTTTAAACATATTATTAAAAGAAATATATTTGATTAATATATTCTTCAATACATATACAATTCATAGAGATAATTTTATATTACAATGTGATTTAGATATTTGTAGAGAAAGATATATGTAAAGAAAATCGGAATACAATGATTTGCACATTTATGCTTTCACTGCCATATATTTAAACGTTGCTTATTCAGCCAACCTCCTTTGTTAATTATTGTCTTTTATAGGCCCAAGGTGGCACTAGAGAGTAATCCTACGGCCTTTCTTCAGTCCCGACTACTATAGTAAATTACTGCTTGATTGAATTTATAGGAAAGAAAAGAAATTATAGGAGGAAGAGGACATATTGAAAGAATGCTCAGATGGCTTGGGCAGGCTTTCTTCAACAGGTGTTTCTCTAGGAGACATAATCAACAGCCCAAGTAGCTCTCTTCCACTTGCCCAAAGAACTATCTTTTCCCCAGGTCCTTAGTGAGGAAGGAAAGAGTTTTTAGATAGATGAAAAACTGCCTACCAGGGACTCAGTGCAAGTATTTTTTTCCAGTGTGATTTGACATTCCAGGCAACAGTTTCAAATGAATCCGTTTGGCCTAATGGTTAAAGCACCAGGCAAATAAACAAGAGGCTGTGATTTCTAGTCCCACTTTAGGCATAAAAGGTGGCTGGGTGATTTTGGGCCAGTCATTCTGTCTCAACCCAACCCACTTCACACACTTGTTGTGGGAAAAATAAGGAGTAAGGGGTATTAGGTATATTGGTTGCCTCAAGTTATTTATAAAAAATAATAATAATAAATATCTAATATTCTTCTCCTATTTTCCCCACAATAATCTTGTGAGGTGAGTTAGACTGAGCAGAGAGAGTGAGCCAAAGTTACCTAGCCGGCTTTCAGGATTAGAACAACATTCTCCTGGTTTCTATCTTGGTGCCTCTTAAGTCAGTATTATCCTCCAGTTACCTCAAGGAAAGAGGCCTTTTGGTGTCTCCTTAGACCAGATACTGGTTGAAATCAAGAGGAAGATGCTCTTTCTTCCCCAATATAAAACCACAAATGCAAGGAATTCAGAAGGCTGAATTGAATTGCCACCTAAAGGAGCAGCTAATGCACCAGCAACAGTCTAGAGACTAACTCTTCTCTGCCATGTTTACAGGGGATCCAAGTGACATAAGTTATCAAGATCCCTTACTGGAAGGCAAACTTCATCTAGTCTTCCAATATTAATTTTCTATCTCCCCAGATGCCGGGGTGCTTTTCTTTGTTTATATATATTGGACTATGTATTCCTGTAGATTAAAACTTTTCTACATGCATTTTGGGAAATCAGTAAGACAATATGCATTTTTAATAATATGATAATGTTTCCTCTGACTTTGTATTTATGTGCATCAAGACATAAAAAATGTGTGATGCAGCTCTCTCCGCAAATATATTCTGTCCAGTAACAAATAGTAAACACTTCATAGTTCATGATCTTGAATGAATGACTGTCTGGTAGCTTGCAATCACTTGCATTTCAATTTGTTTTCCTGATGGCTGTCACCACAGGAAGCCAAGCTAGGGAATCTTGATTATCATTGTATTTGCTTTTTCAGAAGCAAAAAAAAAAAAGGTTTTAACAATCTAGGCATTAATACCTGCTTATTAATATTTTCAATATTGTTGTTTATATAATTATTTTTCTGTGCAGCTGGTGTTCAAAACCCTTTTAATCACTTTATTTCTCTTACTTTCTCTTTCTTTTCTTCTTTGCAGGGAAGAGTGGTCCTGAATGTAAACATTGCAGAGCTGACCCAGATAAAGAATGCCGATTTTGTTCTTGTTATTTATGTGGTGGAAAACAGGATGCACACATGCAACTTCTCTGTGATGAGTGTAATATGGCTTACCACATATATTGCCTGAACCCACCACTAAGCAAAATACCAGAAGATGAGGACTGGTAAGAAACACACACATACACACACACACACTTTTTTCTTTTAATTGGTTTTATTGAAATTTTCTTGTTTTGATAGTAGTGAGGTACCCAGAGTTATTGGGAATCTGGCAGCACATACATACATACATACATACATACATACATACATACTTACTTACTTACTTACATTGGGTATGTATGTATGTATGTATGTATATGTGTGTGTGTGCGTGCATGTGTGTTGCATTTGTGCTGATAAATAAATAAAGGGAGACTAGTATAGATCTATTTCAAGCTATTTAGCTCTCATCAGCTAGCCATACCCTTACTGAGAATCCAACCTGGGCTGTATTACATATTAGGCAGTTATATTAGCCACTAAGCCACAGGCTCTCCTCCTTTATCAGCTAAGCCAGGGAAATAGATATGTATTGTGTCACAACCCCTGTTATGCCCAAATATGGGCGGGAGCATACTGCTTCCCTTTTCTGTCTTATCGGCTCACTCTGGGAGCCATCCAGGCAGAAAGCCATATGTATGTATGTATGTATGTATGTATGTATGTATGTATGTATGTA